GCCCCCGCCGGGCCTTTTTCCCCCCCCCCCCCCCCCCTTTCCATTGGCGTAACTAGGTTGTGAGGGGCCCGAGTTCAAGAGTACAGGTGGGGAGCTTCACGCATGTAAATTTACCGTATGTCAACTAAGATGTGTACTACCGATGGATTGGTTTTGGAGCAGGGGTTCTTCCGATTTTTATATTTTGACAATAACCCTTTGGATTTTTTTTAATTTGTATTATGTTCTCAGAGGGCATTTTTGAAGAGCCGGCTATTGGTTGGACTGACCATAATAGTAAGCCAAATCTTGATTGTGAAAATTTTAGTGATTATTTTAGTATATATATAGGATATTAAAAAAATAATAATCTGGCATGCTTATCTAAAAATACTAATCTTGATGTTCATAATTTCGATACTAGGCTATAAACTTAGAAATCTCTGTTCCATTATAAATAAATCATTAATGAATGGTATGGTTCTAAACGATTGGAAAGTCTCAATGACTACCCACATATACAAAGGTGAAGCCCTAACAATTATAGACCAATCTCAGTGGAATGCCACATAGCCAAAATTGTTGAATTCATAAAATAGTGATCAAACTTCGAACAGGTAAGTTCTTGTGCTTTCTATTATTATATATTTCAATGAAAATGACCTTATAAATATGCCAATATGCTTTTAGGAAGTACCACTCAACTGTTATATGTTTCATCGTTCAATAGATCTTCTTATGGATGCTGGGGCGAATGCAGGATCTGTCTCTTATACACATCTAGATGTGTATAAGAGACAGCCCTCTAGGTGCTTTACATTAAATCTTACATTATGAATGGAAAAACTATCCGCCGCCAGACACCAACATGCTATTTCTGAGTCTAGGTTTTTCGGGCCAGGAATTACAAGCTTGAACTTAACTATATCAATTAACTACAATGGTACTGTCAGTTGTGGCGCCAGGATTTGCCCCGACGAAAGAAAGTGGGCGTGGTCGGTCATCGCTCAAAATCTTTCGAAAGTGTTCCATGGGGGCGAAGCCCTAAAAAAATATGACAATTTAGGGGTTTCAAAGGCTTATTTAATCGATTTTGGAGTCTACTAGTAGAAAATAAATATTCATTGTGGTTTTTCTCCCCAACGGAGTGCACTGCTCCCTCCCTTCCCCTGCTGGACCCTCCCCCGCTGGCGCCATCCCTGGGTAGGCCTACTGTATTGATATAATTAATTACAATATGGTATCATGGAGGTGTTATACCTCCATGATGGTATTGATATAATAAACAAAGCAAAATGTGGAATGTCTATGAAAGATAAAATTAAGTACAAATGCAAACGTTAGTAACATTATTTACGACCAGATCAACATCATCGTTGGCATGATCCACAATGCGAGACTCTCCTTCAATAATTACTCAATCTATATTATAGACAGGAGTGGCACCAGCATTTACCCGACGGCGGTCCGATGTCTCTGACGATCCTGCTTTTCCTTCTCGACAGACTGTGTTTTTTTCTCCACGACTTAAGTATTTAAGGGGTAATTCCCAATGATACTTTTCCTCCAAGTCATTTTCCCCATGTTTTATGTGCAGGGATGAAACAATCATCATCTCATTATCAATAACAACACCATGAACACTTGCAGAAGCTAGATAGATGTGTACTACCGATGGATTGGTTTTGGAGCAGGGGTTCTTCCGATTTTTATATTTTGACAATAACCCTTTGGATGTTTTTGTGAAGCCCTAACAATTATAGACCAATCTCAGTGGAATGCCACATAGCCAAAATTGTTGAATTCATAAAATAGTGATCAAACTTCGAACAGGTAAGTTCTTGTTTCTTTCTATTATTACATATTTCAATGAAAATGACCTTATAAATATGCCAATATGCTTTTAGGAAGTACCACTCAACTGTTATATGTTTCATCGTTCAATAGATCTTCTTATATGGATGCTGGGGCGAATGCAGGATTTGACGGTAGGGGTGGATGAGAGTCCACACCACCTCCTAGCACCACCATGGTTGGGGCTGAGACCACCTCCTAGCACCACCATGGTTGGGGCTGAGACCACCTCCTAGCACCACCATGGTTGGGGCTGAGACCACCTCCTAGCACCACCATGGTTGGGGCTGAGACCACCTCCTAGCACCACCATGGTTGGGGCTGAGACCACCTCCTAGCACCACCATGGTTGGGGCTGAGACCACCTCCTAGCACCACCATGGTTGGGGTTGAGACCACCTCCTAGCACACCATGGTTGGGGCTGAGACCACCTCCTAGCACCACCATGGTTGGGGTTGAGACCACCTCCTAGCACCACCATGGTTGGGGCTGAGACCACCTCCTTGCACCACCATGGTTGGGGCTGAAACCACCTCCTAGCACCACCATGGTTGGGGGCTGAAGTGGGAAAATTAAATTTGAGAATATGGACCTTAGGTGCCCGGAAATTTCACTCTCATACCTTTAAAATCTTATCGGTAATTTATATCAACTTACAATACAACAATTATTATTTTTTTCTTAATGCAATGGGGGACGGGGAGCGATTGCACCGTCTGTACCCCCACTGCATCCCCCCTCCCCCAGGGATGCTATACACGAGTTCATATGTTTAGCATATTGGTTTATAACTCAACGATACGATTTTCGTGTAGTGGTGAAAGGCCGAGACGAGACGTGAACTTGGTCCCTTGTAGTTGGAAGGAAGCAAATAGTAAAGAGTCACCCCTAAATCAATCGGAATCGGAATTGGCATACCACAGGGTAGTCTTTGGCCCAATTTTATTTTTGTATCATAAATAGTGATATTTAAAAATTGATTTTTCCTGGGACTTGCAGTAGGCCTATATTTTGCTGATGATGTTGCTATTTATGCTCAGGAACACAAGTTGATGGATTAAATACAAAATTACAAATATTTTAGAAAATATTGGTAAATGGTATGTCAGAAATATGTTATGTGCAGTTAAAACAAATATACTAATTAGAAACCAGAATATATTTCATCTGATGTCCTGAATATTTCATGTTTACGGAAAACATATCGAACAAGTAAAGCATGCAAGATATTTGGATTTAGAGATAGTGTACGAAAACTTAACATGGGATTATCATATGACATATACCTCTGTAAGCTTCAAAATTCATAACATAGGAAAATTGGCCAAAACATTACACCAATCTATGCTTACTAACACAGCACAATCGAGCGATGTATCGATTATGCAATTTCGGTTTTGGGAAACACATCCGAGAAAAATATATTGCAAAAAGACTACAAAAACGCCGTGCAGCAAGAGTTAAATTTTGGTTACAAAAACTGTGGTGGCGAAAACAATTCGACAGCTAATTTCATGTTTAATGTACAAATGTTATAATGCATGCCCCACCCCCTTCTCATTAATATAACGAAATTAAAAAAGATTTTCGATCGCATATGTTATTGCACTATTGTAGTGCGATTTCTTTACTGTGATTTCCATCTAGTGTTCGAGTGACAATTCTTACCACAGGCATAGGGGCCTGTTTAAGTGATTATTTTTAACAACTCTAAATTATTAATGTGCAATATTACATAAAGATATACTATCAATCCAGATTTTTATTTATGCATTGCTTTATTAAATTTTTTTAATAAGGGGCGGGGCCCTCATCGGGGTCACTGGAGGTCATTCGGGGGCCCAGATTGAATGAACCTGCTCAACCTGCGGTAGTTACGCCACTGCCCCTTTCCTTACCCAACACTCTTCGGACAAAACCTGGCGCCACCAAAACTTGAATACTGTATGCAGCTTTTTGGAACAGATATAGGCCTACCACCTAGTATAGGCCTATCCCTAGAAAACAGTTAAAAGGCAAACTGAAGACTTTTCACAAAGGTTTTTTTTTTTAAAGATACAGTTTAGACACGCAATACAATGTTGTAAAAGGGCTCTGCTCGAAAAACTTATCTCTTCTCATCCATAAGTCGTTGTCGTCTGGTGTTATTCTTGATGTTTTATTGTTTCTTATCTGTATCGTTTCTTATAGTATCATTTCCATGGCATAAAGGCCTATCTAGTAAGCAAAAACTGTCATGGTAAAATGTACCTCTATACCTGTAGAAAAAAAACCCCCAGTATTAGGCCTATCAGTTGTTAATGTTAATCGAATACCCAAACTATTAGAAATTTAAAAATAAATGTCCAAAACGAATTAAAATTTTGCAAAACAACATAGATAATATAATTTAATTGGATATTAAATAATAAAAATGAAACTAGTTTAATTTTCATATCCAATATATATTTTTTATTTGCTATTTTGAAAGCCTACCGCTAAGTGCTAAAGTGTTTCATATAGCCTTAATTGTAAGCTAAAAAATGTGGCATTCTCATTATTAAAATTATATGCTCGTTGTCGCTGTTCCGGTGGTATTACAGGAAAACGGATTCGCGCCCTCAATAGTTTAAATTGCAACTATCGAAGATGGGCGTTCCCTATGATAGAGGAGGAAATATACATTGACCTAAATTTATCTAATTAAAACCAGATAATAACATGATTACAATGTTCTTTCTGTATATAATAATAATAAATCAGTTTGACTTAAATTGTCCAATATCAAGCATTAAAAAACGATATATTTAAGCACGTTCTCACCCGATATGGAGGTATGCGGGAGGCGATTTTTTTTTCCCCTAGGATTTTTCACAGTTGCCTATTGCACACAAAATCCTCCACAATTAAAAAAAAAAAAAATAGAAACATAAGAGGGCGGCATATTTAATTTGATCGTTTTTTGTTTGTTTTATTTTTTATAAGAAATATTATTAAATACAACAACAGTAGCAATAATAATGATAACAATAACGAATAACAACAACAATTACCAAATAATGACAGTAACAATAACAATATTATCAAAAAAAAAGTCGCATGCGGGAGGTATTACCATGTAGGCCTAGGATTTTTCACAGTTGCCTATTGCACACAAAATCCTCCACAATTAAAAAAAAAATTGAAACATAAGAGGGCGGCATATTTAATTTGATCGTTTTTTGTTTGTTTTATTTTTTATAAGAAATATTATTAAATACAACAACAGTAGCAATAATAATGATAACAATAACGAATAACAACAACAATTACCAAATAATGACAGTAACAATAACAATATTATCAATATTTCATTTTTATAACAAATGTTTTTCTTTTGTATTATTTTCAAGTTTTCTCAGTGACCTATCTAATTCTTTTACCCAAAATATGATCCAAAGAAGGCCATTATTTTTTTTATTTACTTTCAATCCAAAAAAGAATATACAGACGGAGTAATTTAGTAACAAAATTGAAGTAGAGAAACTGTTGCCCGGTTAGATTTGACCTAAAAAATATTTTACTGAGTATTTATAAGAATTATGATGTTATGTTTAATCAAGGGTAGGACTTCCGATTAGTATATAGGCCTATATTGGATTGAATTGGATTTTATTGGATTTATTTGGTGTAAACACCAAGGATAGCCCACGAAAGTCTAGAAGAAGACTTTTATTTCCAGTGGGGTCCTTCTGGTGGTGATTGGACAGTACACCGGGAGACAATCCCCTACTCTTTCCGAAGAGTGGACTAACTGCGTCCTTTAACGCGCACATTGCATATTAATAGACTACCACTCGAACAACATATAGATATGATTTTAATGCTTTAGTCATAGTTTCAACAAATTATATTGTGCACGATTTGCTCTTTTTTTTTTTTTTTTGATATTTTACAAATTAGCCTGATAGAGGAACATAGGCCTCGTACATGAATAAAATACGATGTCAAAATAGTCGTCATAGTTGATGCTCGTATATAATTAATTGTGTCGTATCGTTTTTAAAATTTCATTTTTACGTTTGATAATTGTTTAGAATATACAAATAACTGATGTCTATTATTTTTATATTTATGTTATTGTATAAATAAATCTTCAACAACATAATGGTTTGGGGTTTTTTTTTTAAGCAACCGTTTATAGCGCCCTCTCTGGGTTCAATTGCATTCAACAAGAGTGAGGGGTTTTCTATCATCATTTTCAGGAGCTAGTGACCATTTTCCAAGGGACCCCACCCTGACCGTGCGAATGATAGAGTTTCTGTAATGGTTGGAACACACTCATTTTGACAGGGAATAACATACAGAATTATAATAATACGGACATTTTCTGAAGGAGTTTAGTTCTAGGGTAAGTTCCGTCGCAGATAAAATACGTACGTTTCTCGTATTCTTAAATTTAAAGCCATAATTTAGGAGATTATTAGCGAGCATTGCGACGCCGGGTGTTGGTTTGCATCAAGATGGCCGCCGTGTTTACTGTCTGAGGGAGTTGGACATTTTACGATACATCTGGTGTTATTCGACAAGAGGGTATTTGAAACATAATCATTGGTAATGTGTTATACTGGAAAACTTAATGTATTTAGCAAAGGAACTTATTCTTGCATTTATGAATAAACAACGCTGGATTTGATGAATGTTTGCCGGGACTCTACAATGGTGAATGGAAAATGGCTCATTCAGTGCATTGCATAAACCACACAGAACTTGCACAGTATGTGTTGTTGATGGGCTGAGGTCTGCTTTGGTTAGGAAGGAACCCAGCCCATCCTTCAAACGGCGGAATGTTTCTCCATGCCTATATTTCCAGACGCAATTTGCAGTTTATGAGAAATATATCTAGTGAATGAAAAGATATATCTGTTTATTAAAGTAGTACATGTTTATAAAACTAGGCCAGCATTAGGAAATCAAATTGTAGAGAAATGGAGAACATGTTTTTTTTTTTTGTCAGAAAAGTGTTTCCTCTGGCTGGTGGAACTTTCACTTTTCTCCAAATGAAATTCATTGATTACAATTAATGTATCCTGCAAACTCTAAAAATGAATAACTTCCTCGAAACTGAAATTATAATAATTGGTTTATTAAATATTATTGTCGGTTGTGTCAAATAGATATCTGATGATTTTTATTCATATTAATCTAGGCTAGGCCTAGCCCTTAGGCTTAGGGCCTAGGCCACACACTTGGCAGACATTTTGTAAACTTTGTTGAGTGTTAAGTTTTAAGATTGGAAATCTCTTGTTTGAAATATAATATGCTACCTGTAAGTTTGATGACTAGGATTATCATTGTTTTGCTTTTATGTTTAGAGGATAAAATTATACTTTCAATATACCTATTTTTTTAAGTTGTTTGTAACATATTTTCATTTATAATGTTAACATATTTTCATTTATTATGTGTACTGTAAAGATATGACGATAGTTTAGTTTAGGAATTGTGACTTACAGTGTAGGTTAAGGGTGTTTTTAGATCATATGCAAGCCTTAAATTTTGATAAATTGGTTTCCGCAGTCACTTACAATTTCACCAATAAATTATCTTAAAATTCCCTTTAAATATTTCATCACGCAAAATTATGGACAACTCTGCAATGTGTTCAACATAAAAATATATGTTTTGTTGACCTAGCAGGTGACCCTTTTTTTGCTCGAAATGAATAGGCCTAGCCAAAAACAGTTTTCGTTTGGTACTATTTCATTCTGGGAAAGGACTGTCACGATGATGTTTCATTGTACTTTTATATAGGGATTGAGAAGACAACGAAAAAGAATGCCAGCTTTGGTGTGCTTTACAGTACAGTAGACGATAGGTATTAGGGGTAGACCTTGGCCCAGCCAGGCACTGTCGATATCGAGTGCAGCCATTTCAGGTTTTTTTATATACCGTAAAACCTCGAATTGAAGCCCAGTGGGCTTAATCTAGAGATGAAGCCCATCTCGAATTGAAGCCCCATCTTTAGCTTGCAAAATTAGCCCATCTTAAAAGAAGCCCATGGGCTTCTTTTCAAGATTGCATAGGCTTCTTTTCCAGATAGTACAGTACAAACACTGTACATGAATTTCATAAAACAAAATATATTTAAAACAAGCTTGGACAGTAATTTAGGTGATTTAAGGCCATTTAAATATACTTAATGATACAGATTGATGTTAAAGTGGCCTTATTTATTGTTTTGTAGTACAAATTCACAAAATTTACAGCATTCATTTTGAAAAGAAGCCCTTGTATAAGAGACAGCTTTACTTTGCAAAAGTAGCCTCAAAAAGAAGCCCATCACGAAAAGAAGCCCATCAAAGTTCGCACAAAAAGGAAGCCCAGGGCTTCAATTCAATGTTTTGCGGCATATATATTGAGTTCAAGCACAAAAGATTTACACACTTTTTACATTTGGCCTAAGAATAACTACTACAGTAATTGCCTTAAAAACTAATTCCCCAAAAGAATTCTTCGCATGACCGTAATTTGACATCTGTCAAAGGTTATTTATTTTCGCACTCGTACCTTTTTCTGATCTTAACCAAAATTTTATCGGAATCTTATAGGCGTCATTTTCCCTGCTAAAAATATGGCTGCTTTCCCATAATTTATCGGGTAGTAATTGCAGCGGAAGCACAGCCTTATTTTATTGTTCAGTAATCGGTCACAATGGTGTATTATTTCATTTAAAAGCAGTATTTTAGGATAATGTACAAGGTCCTATAATTATGGTTTAAGAACTCGAAAGGGGATAGGCCTACTTTTCAAGTACAGTATTCAAGGTTTTTTAGCATCTGATTTTTTGTGATTTGTATTCAATTTTGATTTATTTAGCAGTCACTAAACATGTGTGATTACAATTGGTAAATATTACATTATGTGAGAATATGAATGATACAAGGAATTAATAATAATAATAGTGTACATTTATAATACGCCAGTATCCATCAAGGCGGTTCATGGTGCAAACAGATATGGACCAAGTAATTACATTGTAGGCAATGGTTTTTGCTTGTAATTATAACAAATAAAGACATTTAAAAAGAAATTACTAAATCTAATCTATTATGCACTTGTCAATTGTAGTCCCGGTCTGTAAGGTATGTAATTTCCAAAATGGTTTCCTCCCGGCAATGTGGGGCATCGTTTTAATGTACATCCCCTGCTAAGTCTCCGCCACTTACTGCCGAAGTCCGGTAAGATGTCCCGCTAATATATGAGACCTACTCGAAGGTCTAGCCTGAATCGGAGAAGCACGCGAGAGCTAGGCAGGACTACAATTGACTACAAGTGCATTGCCTAGAGGTAAAACTATGGAGTGGAAAATTAAAATATATTATGATACCTAGGATAGGAAAAAAAAGTAATTTTAATGAAACATGACAGAAAAAATACCATGTTATATAATTAGGAGTATAAATGGGTACCTGGTGGGGTTGCTTGCTCCTGCGCTGAATACAGCAGCAACACTTAGCATGTGGATCCAATGACCCACGACAGAAGCGCTTCGTATCTGCAAAGAAAGGCGCTATATAAATAAATATGATTAGATTAGATTAGGTCAATCAACCCTTAAAATCTGATAGTAGTCAAATTTGGTGGTCAATTTTATTCTAAAGAAAAAAAATACTTTGATAAATGATTGTAACCATTTCTTTGTCGCTTTTCTCCTTAGGCCTCCCTGGAGCACACACCCAGCACATAGATTTTTTTTTCAATTTTCTATATAGGTAAGTACTATAAAATATTCTAGTTTTTGTTGATTACTGGTTCTTATGTGCACTGAAAACTTAATATGTAGCGATTGCATTTTGGATTGAATTATTGTCACTTAAACCATGGAGGTATTATAGAGAAGGAGATCACTCGGCAAAGCCATGCGCACGCAGCGCTATGCAAATGAACCAAGATCAAAGTTGCCGCAGCGCGTAAAGAAGTCCCATGTGTTCCTCGCCATCAAATTTTCAGCAGGCATAGTTGACCAAAAAATTGGACATGACGAAATGGAGAGCACCTTCTTTTCTCCATGCGCACTACATACTGTCACTATGGCTGCGCAATCTTTTGTATTTTGAAGCTGATAACATTTATCTCTCATAAAATATCAAACATATTAATATTTTCCTCCAAGAAAAGTTTCGAATTTAATGGAACATTTACATGACCTATAAAAGTATAGTATATTTCAACTTAAATTTTCATAAATTGGCCAAAATTCGCCAATTCTAATTTTAACAGATATTAATTAATAAATGATTAAGGATTATAATAAACTAAGTCATTTTAGGGTTAACGAGGGTTTTACGCTGACTTAGCTTTATAGTCGAACCAGTCAATCTTTAGACAAAATTATAATGAACACAGAAGTAATTTTAACATAAATATTTTACGAAATCCGTTCCTGAAATATACAAATAATAACATACCAAAAGCCCGAAAAAATCTAATCAGGGGAACATTGTCCATTATAAAGATATTTAATGGGTTAAAATCAAACGTTTTATTGCACAACTGCTCTGCTGGAAGCGTTTAAATGCATGTTGTTGCCAAGTTGTTGCTAACGAAAAATGTGAATTATAGGGTAATATGTCCGCGCGCGATCCAAAAGCGGGGAACACATAGGTTTGTCGCGTCAAAGGGATCTGTTGCCGAGTGATCTCCTTCTCAATAATACCTCCATGCTTAAACAGACTAATTTTAAAATGTAGTAAGAGGGCAGCGGAAATAATAATTTTAAAAAATGTCTCCGGCATTTCATTTTTTTCACAGCAGCTGGTTAAGTAATCGGCCGAAAATATGATTTTATTATCCAAAATCATTATCGGTGGTGTGTGGGTTGGCAGAACATGGTTAAAAAAAAATAATTACAAATCAGTATGTATTAATTAATGACTAATTTAAATATAATTACAGTAACCCTTTACCTGAATTTACAGTTCGACACCTGGTATCCTGAAGCCAATTTTTCATGATGATCCTCGATTTTCAAATTCATTTTTATTGTTATTTTAGTGTCATAGGGTTTCTGTTTAATACATTAACAGTTAATTGATAACCGTTTTTCTTGCTGTTGCTCATTAGTATATTTCTTTATATTTTATAATACCAGTTATAATTCTTGTGGTCAGTAAATATTTTTATTTTACCCATGTGTTAATGTTAATATCTACTGGTCAAACTATGTACCTGGTCAGTTTGAACATAATAAATCAGAGTCTGTGTGACGTTTTTTTCTTGGTCAAGCTACCCATGCAGCGCTAAAAGTTTACCTGAGCAAACATAGCTCAAGAAGAATAACCAGGTGGTAATTGTTTTCATGAGGAGAAAAGTCCAGTGATAACGTCCAAGCTATCACGGTAAAAGTGGCCGTCCTAAATAATTGTAGACTGTCCAAAAGACGGCCGGACGGCTCGCTGGCTAAGCCTATGCTGACCACATATGCAAAAACATCCTGCTATTATATGTGGTTTAATCAGGTACATTTAGGTCTTCAGAACTGTAGTATGATTGGCCAAGTAAAGTAACCCTACGAAAATTAATTTAACATCCAACCTTCAATATTGTTTTTTTGTGTAGGCTGAAATTACAATGACCAATTTATTTCCTTAGATAGTCGATGGTTGCTATGGTATCTCACTGGACTGCACACTTAGTTCATTTGTATTTTTGCTGGTCTTGTTTTGTCTTCTTTTTGTTTTATCTGAAATGCTTGTTTATGTTTCAAATTAATTAAAGTTTGCCTCTCAGTTTGTAGTAGAACTTTGAATGTTACCTAGCCATGTTGGAGTCTATTTAGATAGCATTTTTTTCAATAGTTTAAAAGATCTCTTTGAAACTAACATTTTCTATGAAGTCTAAAGAGAGTTGCAATAAATTATTATTTATTGTAATATTTATGTAAAAAATGCAAATGTATTGTATGACATAAATAGTTTTGGCTTGATTGATTTATAAGTAGTAGAATGAATGTTAGGTTAAAACTGTTTCTCAAATAGTAACAGTTAAAAGTAATGTTGAAATGTGTCGTTCAAATTATGAATTTCATTTTATTACAAGAATACCTAAATCCGAATTCCTTTTCTTCGCAAACTACTGTAGGTTTTTTTTAAATGATTCAGGCCTAGTTCAGACTAGGTGGATAAACCTGGCTCAACTCACTAGGATTATCCACCTGCCAGTCTGAACTAGGTGGCTTATCTCAAGCCGGTCTGTGTTCCTATAGTAACTAGGCCTGGCATGCCGCCGTGTTGAACTTTTCTAAGCTGGGCTTTAATCATGCGGGGGGTCTTACATTGCCTTCGGGTAACAAAATGACCAATCAACATTCAATTACGTACACTGTGAGCGACCATACGTTTCGCGAGCAATGTTTTGAAACACGTTTCCTGGTTACTGTTCATTATTATGCAAATTCTCTCGGCTTGGCTAATCCCACTAGTCTGAATGCCCGGCAAAGTTAAGCCATTCTTAACTCAAGCCCGGCTTATCTCCAAGTCAATATTTAAATCTTTTAAATCTTGATAAAGCTCAACACAGAATAAAAAGAGGTTCAAAACGTCGCTTACTTTAACAATTTCAAGAAAATTGTAAATATGAAAGCTTATACAAAGTAATATGTGACTTAATTATTAAGTTATTGTTTTTCCTTGCATTTTCACAGTATTTAAAAAATTTCAAGATGACTTCAGAGTTGGAAACCCTAAGGCAAGAGGCAGAGTCCCTCAAGAACCAAATTAGAGTAAGTAAACCACATCTAATTAGCTAAGAATTCATGCAGAGTGTGAGATGCTTAAGTAGAATCATAGTCATGTGGCAGTAGTACGCGTGTGGCGCATGCGAGTGACGTTATACATTTTTGCCACTTGTGCATGTTACAGTTTTATGTAATTGGCAGCTGGCAGTCATACGCATGTTGGATTCATACATGTGTTGCACCAGTACATGTATGGCCCTCTACTAGTGTAGCACCCATACCAGTATAACACCTGTGCAGGTGTACAGTAGCACCCATGATAGAGGTATGACAACTGTTTTAGTGGCAGTTAAACATGTGTTGCACTAATACATATGTACAGTAGTACATACATGTATGACTATGAGGCACTCATACATGTGTGGCATACATAAATGTGTGCTCGTATATGTGCGCTGCTCATGCATGCATCTCATGCATGCATTCCTATTATGCATGTGTTCCGCTCGTTGCATTTGTGGCTTCCTTACTATAAATTTGTAAAGAGTGAATCATGTATTGTCATCATATGTGTAGCAGTTGCATGAAAGTTGAAATCTTACAATAGTTGAAGTTGTGTGATAATTGTGTGAAGCAGTCGCATTATTATAGTGGTATATAATCTATCAATAATCTATTAATATGCAGAGAGTGTGCCTTTCAGTTTGTAATAGTGGTTGTAATAATACCATTTTATTTAAGCATTTCACTTTTGTCTGGCAATGTCAATGAATATGTTTCGGTTGTGATTATACAAAATTGTGCATGCTGAGAAAAGTATAATAGGCAATGGTATGCCTGGCAGTACAGGCCTACTATTCCTTTGTTGTATAAATTAGGCAAACAGATAAAATCTAGGACAGCATTCAGCGGATTATCAAGTTTCAAGTTTATTTTACCAAAATTAAATGAATATAAGGATACAATAAAAAATGGTGGGTAAACCAAAAGAGCAGAGCTCGTATTTAGGCCACCGTAGAAGTGCAATTTATTTACACTTACATTTAACAAGACAAAAGACAGAGGGGTGCAGGACATGACTAAACATAACATGTGTAAACGGACACAACAATGAATAAATGTTAGCCAACCATAAGATTAATAATACTTATATAAAACTTCGGCTTAAAAATTAAGTTTAATTAGCCTAATCAATAAAACATAAGTAACAAAATTATGAGTGAATTTCCAAAAATAGTATGTACTGTACACAATTATTAACAAAAGTGTTTACATATTTTCTATTTTCATAAACTTAAACCTAATACATGTATAACAAATGAGAAGTGTATTTCTTTTTAAATAAACTGGGTACAAGAGTTTCTAATGTCATTCTCAATGTTATTCCATAATAATGGTCCCTGTCGTCTGATAATGTGCATTGCAAGTTTGGTTTGAAATTTTGAGGGCGTAGATGATGTGAGCTCCTGGTGGAGTGTCCATGGATATCATGACCTCTTTTAAAAAGTGTGTTAAAATTGCATGCGAGATTATTATGAGTAAAATTATACATGAGCATTCCCTTTTGAAGTTTATGGATATCATGGTTAGAGTATGTAGTTTAAAACATAATGGTGTCGTGTGAGCCAGCCAGGCATAATCTAATGATTTTCTTTTGTTTGATATGAATGGTTGCTAAGTTGCAATTGTTTGAGACATCGTAGTACTACGATGTTTATTTTCACTGGCTACTTTCAATCATGGTGCACAAAATTCAATACAAAAACTACCAATATAAATAGCACAACCGGTCTACAAAGAACCTTATTTACCTACACAAAGTTAATTTGAAAATATTAGACAATAGTATGCACTCATTTTGATTTTCTTTTCTGTTGAAAGTTCGTTAAAATTTCTACCAATTTTCGGACTCCATGTTTTTCGGACTCTGTTGACTTTTGTGAACTCGTGGCATAAACAAAGTTAAAGTTCAAAGTTTGGAAGCCACACCTTCAAATCACATGTTAGCTAATAAGATAGTGATGACGACACATAATACGTCGCCCAAACTTTCCTTTTGTACATTGGGCTTCCGGGTTTTCTCACCGCTGAGAAGAAAAAAAGTTATTTTAAAAAAATTAATTTTGTGTATGACTATGGAACAGTATGAGAATGTATGTTTTTTGACTAGCCCTCTTTGTCATAAAATAAATATTTCCGAAATGATAAATAAAAAAAAATCAAAAAACAACACTGCCTCAAATTCTTTTACCCTTAGTGGCGGAGGTAGCAAGCCGAAGGAATTCTTGAAAATGTTGTTTACACTCACAATTTCAGAGTCATCATAGATAGTACAAAATTAAAACAGCAAAGCCAGCCAAAATCGTCTTAATTCACATCACATGAGACATGATTTTTTTACACTATACTAGTATTTTTTTCCAGTGTTTGGTATCAATTGTTTTTTCGATATTTGCATAAATTTTAGAACTATTTTTTGCTCTCCTTAGATGACTTAGGCTGATGCAATGCAGATCTAGGGCCTAGGTCTAGATGGGGAATCCCCACAAATTGCAACATGTTTGTAAAAAGTTAACAACTTCAGCATTATAAAAATTGTGTTTTTAATTATTTAATTATATGGTGTTGATGCGGATAAATATATCATTACTCTCTCCCCCTCCCCCCCCCTTTTTTTTTAAAATAAGAACTCCCATTCCTTTTTAAAAAAAACACTCTTTGTGGGTCAGTCTCCAGTAGGAGTGTGTCATGGAGCTATAAATTCAGATGTTATAATTTTGAAATCATGGTCAAGTTCATGTTTGTTGTGTTAAGTTATTATTGTTATTATTATTATTATACTTTACAAGCTGTAATTATTATTTAAGTAAAAGTAGTTTTTAATATAATAGGAACCAACTAAAATACTTTTGTATTCAAACTTCAGTCCATCTGTCTTCCCTCGTCCTTAAATCATAAATATACTTAAAATGCCATGGTCAGTCAATGTAACATGCTGGACTAAATATAAAATCAGGTCTAGTCTGTGCTTATTTTTATTATGCTCATTCATAAAAAAACGGACACTTCACTGAATATTACGAACGGTGACCTATCCAGCCGACTATTTAGCATCGACCAGGGAGCTCCCTGAGTTCACATGTATTGTACCTACTTGCACGTACAGGCGGCATACATAATAATAATAATTGTTGACTTATATAGTGCATATTGGGCTTGCATTGTGGAACTGCCTGCAGTTCGACAGTACGTATTTTTTTAGCTTGGCGCTAATATTTTAAGTGCTCCGAAAAACAAAACTTTCCTTAGTCACTGCAGCCCGGACTGCGTATCGGCTTGGCGTACAGCTAGGCCTAGCCGAGAATTACGGTGCGGTAAAACAAAGCAAAATAAGGGTACTAATTTCATTGGCATGCAAATCAATCATACTTACACATTTAAAAACAAACTAATCTACCAATAAAATCACCTGCTATTTAAGATATAAGGCAAGTGTGCTCACAAATTTGATTTTAAATTGATGTGATTTTGTTTTGTTGGCTAGCCTAGGCCATGTCTAACCGCTTATAAAAATGCAGAAAAAAGACCCAAAACAAATTAGAATGAAGTTATCAACTAACTAGTGCTTTAAAATTATTTATATACTTACTACTTATATATAATTACAATGTATTGCTCACAAACACCAATTTTTTATTTTGATACGCCTTTTTGTTTACCGTACAGTAATCCTTGTCAGGTCTAGCTGATACGCAGTGCTGGCCGCAGTTTGGCAAAGGAAAGTTTTGTTTTTCTGAGCATGTGCAGATTGTGCTTATCTAGCTCATTAGCATAACAATACCGCACGAGGCTAATTCAAGTTGACGGCTTAAACCAGCCAGGTTCCTATCCCGGTAACAGTTATAAGTCCTTGGTGCAATCCTTACCTATTTTGCCTAAGCGTGGCAGTCATTTCGTATTATCACCCGAGCGTGGCAATTCCACCGCGCTTAAGTATAGCTGGTGAGACAATTTCAGTTAGGTTTTATGATCTATAATGATTTTGTTTTAGTGTTAACGTAAATTAGATGTAATACAGAAAATTGTAAGGTGAAAATTAATGGTCATTAGGTCCAAGTCAAAAAAGATACTTGAGCTATGACAAAAATTCTTCAGATCTCAAATTGGAGATAGAATTTGTATAAGAATATTAATTTCTATATTGCAATGGGATGTGGTAGTACTTGCATTGTATAGTAATATTCCTTCTATTTATTCACATGGCTCAATTTTTATTGTTTAAAAAGACTCAAGGTTTTAAAGAACAAATATATAAGAGGATTTATTTTCTATAAAAGCGAGTGTGGCATTTAACTACTTTTCATAATTTAAATATCATGAATTATTCATTAGCTTACTGTGGCTATGGTGGAGTTACTGTATCATGATGTTAAATAATATATGATTTGTAGCATGATTTTGATGAACATGCTTACTGTTAGGGAAGAAACATCATGTGATGCACATAGCTTCAACATTTATGCATGTCTAGGTACTTAATTCACAGGTACTAGCATATATGGAAAGATCAAATATTACTCATGAATATAAATGAGGCAGCTCACTTGGTCAAATTGAAAAGTAAGTGTCAAATTTAAGGTGTGGTTATTGAGATTTTTACCTCTACATCATTCAAAAGATCATTCAGCATTAGTTTCATTGTTCTTTCCTATGGAGGAAACGAATTACCAATAAATATTTCAATAGTAGATTACATTAGATTTTGGTATTTAATACTCTTTAACTTGATAGTAAATTGTAGTAGTTCAATAGATTACCTTCCTGGATTATTCCATTACAAAAAGTCCAAGAATAGAACTTGGTTTACAATAAATGCATTCTATAATTTAGATGATTTAGATTAGAATGTGAATCAAAGCAAACATACTCAAGGGTTGATTAAATTTTAGCCCTTAGCCTCTAGGGAACAAACAAGAGTTCACAGGGAGTATTGTCTAACTGACCTAGGAGGTGACTAGTCTATTTTCAGGACCCATTAGTTTACT